CCGATATATCGGCCGGCCGATATATCGGTCGACCTCTATGGGTGACCTTCTGATTACAGGCACACAGGCTTAGCCCACTGAGCCACACGCTGCCCCGTACATTTGAACATATGTAAATGAAGAGTAACACAATAAAAACTAGTAAGAATTTCTCCTGTTCTCCAAAAAGTTACTGTGTCTTGCTGGATGGTTAGATGAACATCACTTTGGTTCCCAAACCTCTCTTCAGGGGCACCTCAGCCATCCCCGTGTATTTCTTAAATTTCACCACCAGCTCACATAATTATTTAGTCTAAAAACGTCATTTTTAAAATTGATTAGCTATACAAGGCCTGCTAGTGGTCAAGTCAAAAAATAAATGGGTGTGTGGATGGTTGCTGCCAAATACTAAGGTGATTTTAGAAAAGGTTTTGAAAAGATAACATGCTTTGAGAGGCACAATAGCATAGTTTTACACCAACATGAAGATCATTTAAACATAAAGGCAGCCAAAGAAAATTTGCTCAGTACTGTAAATTAAACTGCACACTACTCATGCTGCTGTAGCTAAAATCTCTGTATACGCTGTGTTTTGGCCAGATGCATGTCTATGCTACATTAAGCACCTGGATTTTAATATGTTCTTTCAGTTTCTATAGCACCAGCCAGCCTGTTAAATTTTGAGTCACACAGGTGCAGTTTCTGGATCTCTTCTCAATCAGTGTTAAGCTGACATTCATTTCCTCAGCTGGTGTTTCCATCCCTTTGTTAAAGGGGGCCAATTATGCTCATTTGCTCTGTTCATAATTTTATTTTTGGGGACTATTAGAATGGATTAACATGCTTCTATTTCTATTCCCCCTCTGTTTGAAATGCTCAGTTAGAGCTTTAAGCTCCACCTCTGATGAGCCCAGTGTGCTCTGATTGGTTAGCTTGCCCTGCATGTTCTGCCCATCTTGTAGTCTGCAGACAGATAGTTTTAGGTAGCAGCCAATAAGGATTGTGTTACAACGTAACCTCACCATGTCACAGAAGTAAGGGCAGGAATTCCAACAATGTGTTTCTGGCAGATTAAAGAAGAGTGGTGTCTGTTACTCCGTTTGGTGTGTACTTTGGGCCTTAAGACTTTGTAGACCATTTACATGCACATAAAGCTATATAATGCACTGAAGGAAAGGGAAAAACGGAAAAGCATAAGAGGTCATCTTTAATTTTCTCGGAATGATTTGGGTTATGTCCCGTTTCCAGTGAGTACTAACAGCAGGCAGCCTTTAGGTGACCTGCGCCAGCTTGGAAAAGGTTCCCCTTAAACACACTATGTTGAGTGATGGAAGAGTGAGGACTGTTGTCATTGTGTTTCATGAGAGGATCATAAAAATGGCAGAAGGGTGTGTTATTTCCGACTTGTCACTGGGTGTTAGGGGCAGGCATGACAGCAGAGCAGGACAGGCCCTCCCAGTTGGGGTGCTCAAGCACCAGGGCGGAATGGCATCTGGGCAGTGTATGAGCTGCTGCTTCCAGGCAGTGTCTGTGCTGCCAGCTGCTTTCCGCCACACGCTTCCTGTAGCTGTAAAACCTGTGAGTTGAATTTGCAGGAAAAAAGTAACATGGGACTCATTTACTGTAACTAAAGGATTTGGCTTAGAAGCACTTGTGATGCATAATTATGGAGGTTATAATGTTAGCTGGCTTTCATCACGCCCTCTAAGTTAAGGTTTGACTTACAGTAGCCTTGGTGGATAAAGAGTTGTTAACATCTGAAACCTGGTATGTGGGTTTAATTTTTGCTGCCAGACATTGCTGGTTTATCTTGTTCTGTGTTACTGACTCCTCGGAGAGTGAGAGCGTTCCTTGACGAGGAGACGCTGGCCAGAGCCCTGTAACCAGAACGCTGGGTCTCAGTGAGGGGTGGAGGAGCTGCTGATGACCCTCCTGTTATGCATAAATGCTGGGAAGCAAAACCTCAGTCTTTCAAAAGGAGTCATCAGTGAGGTCTAACTGAGAGTATGACTCCCTGTGAGGTCAAGGGGTCAGGAATCTGACTGATTGGGGGCGTCAGTGAAATAGGTCTCCTCCAGCACAATGACACATGAACAGCTGAACAGAAAAAGCTCACAGGTCTGCTGGATGTGCAGTGTTAATTTGCACATTGCATGTTCTGCACATACAGTTGTCACATCGCAAGGACCATAATAGCTGGGTTGAGACCATCAGTAATTTTCGCTAAAACATTTTTACTCTGTCATAGGAAACACAATTTAGCAAACTTTGGAATTTCAATGATTGTTCCTTTTCCAGATTATCTAGTATATGTTTTAAAAAAGCAACCACTGCTGGTTTTGCATGCACTCTGTATACACTCTCCAAGCCAATCTTAATCATTTTTGTCCTTGCTGTTGGACTCACTCATAGACAGTGTGGCGCGTTTGTGAGAAACGTGAACAAGAACTGGTTAATAAAAGGCATTTACCTTCCAAGCTGCTGAGTAAATTTTCAACTCCTTTTTTGTTTGCAATATGTATGAATCATCAATCCAGTATTGCAATCAAACATCTCAGTTTGAATTTTTGTCCAGTTTTATGCAGCCCTACCCAGAGAGAACACTATTGGGCTCTTCTCGACTTTGGGGTTACGTGTCAGATTTAGGTGTTGAGCTTCTCCGTAGGCGCTTTCACATCGAAGTTCCGGAAGCTGTTCCCTGGTTACAAGTTCCCTTAGCCCCCCTAAAATGTTTTTTACCCCCCCCCCCCAAATCAATGTGTATTTATTGGTTTTAATCATGAATAGTTTTCCATCAGTCCCCCCCCCCCCCAGAAAAAACAAACCCTTTTTTTAAACTTTTTGGCTATTTTCATACCACAAAAAAGGATCGGGGACCTGTTTACGAAATCAGAACTGGAGATGCAAAAATCCTGCAGGTTAAACTTCACACATCATTTAAAACTGCACCACTATACCAAAAGAATGGAGAATGAACAACTTGTTTGTTAGTTATTCGGGGGAGCGATTGTGATCAAAATGGGACACAACCTTTTAATTCATAATTTATTCATACAATCCATGTCATGTTTATATTTCACTATTAAATGTGGCTGGTAGATTGATCTTTCTGTTTCATTGAAGAAAAAATGTTTAGCGTATTCTGCTAAAAACTGCTGGCCAGTTTCACTGCTGGCACCAGCGATATTAGACAAAAGTACTGTTTTGGTTATCAGTCAAATTGACTGATGCAGAAATATGGAGACACAAACAGAAAATGGACTCATTAAATAACTGAAGTACAAAAATAATTCCATCTGCTGAATTTTTGCTCTGCTAGTTATATCGCTAACTCCCAAGTTAGCTGTAGTTGCTTGTGGTCAACCAGCCAGCAAGCTAACACTGTAAGCACCTCCCCAGTAGTTTGTGTTTGAGTCTGGAGGAGGTACAGAAAAGGGTTCTAGAATTGCCTCTGAGGAAGTACAGGCCAAGTTCCTGAGGTATGAACTCGAGAAATGCTCCTGCTTCTGGTTCTGGGAAAAAGTTCTTGCGATTTGAATGCGCCTTGTAATAAACTGTAGATACTGTGTTTTATGTTTGGGCGTGGAACTCACCATTCAGGTTCTGCATGTCCATTGGTCCAACAGAGCTACACTTATGTCTGAATCTATATTGTGATATTTGTCACCTTGGAATGTCAACTTCATGTATGACACCTGTGAGGGACCAAGCAGTAAGGCAACACAAACACAGGAACTTAATTAAAGAAATAGGGCTTTATTAACTCCCAAAATACAAACAATAACAAACTCAAGATCTTAATAACTGGGCCCATAAAAGAGGTCAACAAAAAATAAACAAAACTTAACATTACAAAGCAAAGTCTTAACTGAAACAAACTGACCTTCTAATAAAGAGACATGAGGGAACATATATAGCGGTTTGGCCAAACCAATTAACACACAAAAGGGTAAACCAAATAATCACTACATATAATTAACCAGGGGTTGTCCTTTTGAGAGATCTCTGCCCTCAGCCACACCTTTATGCTGCATAGAAAAGACCATTCCCCCAGCCAAAGTAACTGCAAACCAAATGATTATCTAAATTAATCATTGCACACAACCCTACAATATCAACATATGCTACTGTAACCCCAACCACAAAAGGCAAAAATCAACTAAGACCTATGAATCACTGTAAATAAAGCAAAAACATACAAAATAAATCAACTAAGGATGCAAGCATGTATCAGGTCTTACTGTGTGGCTGTAGTCATCACACACCTTTAAAAAAAAATAAAATAAAATGCTGCACTGGGTCTGTAACTCAACTTTTACATTTTTTGTGCGTGTCTCATGCATTTTATCGTGTGGGTGTTCGTATGTGGTGTGCATGTTTGTTCATGTGCCCTAACAATGTCTGTGTGTGTGTGTGTGTGTGCGTGCGCATGTGTGTTTGCTCTCATGCAGGATACAGGGGAGCAGATTGCTATCAAACAGTGTCGCCAAGAGCTGAGCGCCAAGAACAGGGAGCGCTGGTGCCTGGAAATCAAAATCATGAAAAGGTGAGAAAAGGCCATATTTCTCAATTTCTCAAGTACAGAGTAGGGCTGGCCGATATCATATCGATATTATATCACGCATGCGCAATAATCACCATGGCGTCAGATGACAGGCAAAGCGTTTGGCCGGACGCCAGCTTTTCCGTGTTATACAGACTTTTATTTATGCCCGTAATTTGGTAAGAAGATTACTAGTATGACTTAAATATTAATGAGATGCATTTTGTGATACCCAAAAGTTAGTGATCTATATAAACTTTGTTTATTAAATTCTATTAGCGGGACACACCACATAATACTTTTTTGGGATACTACGGTTTGGTATACTACGGTTTGGTATACTACGGTTTGGTATATCTCAGTGCAATATGCACTGAAGACTCGGTGAAGAAGAGCAGCCACCACATCTTTTAAAAGAGGAGATCTTGTGAATAAATGATGTAAAAAGGCGTCGGCGGTGTGACTTTTTGCAGTTTGAAGTATGCTGGATTTATACTGATAATGACTTTTAGGCGTCATTCAAAGCCTCATTAATATTTTTGCCTTACTACTAAACTGCTTAACAAATTGTGGCCGTAAATAAACGTCCGTATTAGGGGTGGCACGGTTCACAAAACCCACGGTTCGGTTTGTATCACGGTTTTAGGGTCACGGTT